AAGAGAAAACTCGTGCCTGGTTTACAGATGGTTCTGCGCAATATGCAGGCACTACTCGAAAGTGGACATCAGCGGCACTGCAGCCCCTTTCTGGGACTTCCTTAAAGGACAGTGGTGAAGGGAAATCCTCTCAATGGGCAGAACTTTGGGCCATGCATATGGCTGTTCACTTTGCATGGAACAAGAAATGGCCAGATGTATGATTATATATGGATTCATGGGCTGTGGCTAATGGCTTAGCTAGATGGCCTGGGACTTGGAAGGAGCATGATTGGAAGATTGGTGATAAGGATGTATGGGGAAGAGGCATGTGGATAGATCTCTCTGAGTGGGCCAAAGGAGTAAAGATATATTTGTGTCTTATGTGAATGCCCACCAAAAGGTGACCTCGGCAGAGGAGGACTTTAACAATCAGATGCAGAGTCGCTAGTGTCATCAAAATTAATCAAACTGGAGAACCAATCTAGGAAGCCCATCCTTATGATTTTGTCTCTCTAGAACCACTCCCAGTACCAAATGTGTTAGACTGGGTTCTCTAGAGAAACAAAAACCAGCAAAGCATATATATAGAGAGAGAGAGAGAGAGAGAGAGAGAGAGATTTATCTTAGGAAAATGGCTCACAAACATATAGAAGCCGGCTAGTCCAAAGTCCCTGGAGGAAACGTCGGGCTGGAGGCAGCCTTAGCTTCCACAACCACAGGGGGCCGAGAAATTCAAGGCTGGCAGGCAGTACACTGGTTGTTGACTCCAACAAAAGACAAATCCAAGATCTCCAGGCCGAGTGGTGGGCTGCTTACTCACGGAAGGTTGTAGTCAGCACACCAGGGTCCCAATCCACAAAAGAATGTCTCTCTTTCCAGGATGTCCCTGGATATCCTGGAGGCAGGCCACACCCCTAGGGAAACTCCCTTTGGGCAGATTGGCTACTCAGAACACAGTCATCTGATCCCATCGTGGGAACAACCACACAGAACTGAGGTCCACCCAAGTTGACACACAGCTCCAACTATCACAGGAGCTCTGGTGGTGTAGTAGTCAAGGCATTTGGCTGCTAACCAAAAGGTCAGTTATTTGAACCCACTAGCCACTCTGCGGGAGCTCTGGTGGCATAGTGCCTAAGGCACTTGACTGCTAACCAGTAGGCTGGCGGTTCAAATCCACCAGTCACTCCTCGGAAGGAAGGTTGGGCAATTTACTTCTGTAGTGATACTGCCTTGGAAACCCAAGGAGGGGTCGCTATGAGTTGGGTCTGACTCCATGGCACATAACAACAGCTGCTCTGCAGAAGAAAGATGAAGCAGTCGGCTTCTGTAAAGATTTACAGCCTTGGAAACTTAGCGGGGGTCACTATGAGTTGAAATGGACTCAGTGGCAACGAGTTTAGTTTGGTTTTTGGTTTTATGTTGAGGTGTAATCCATACTGAGGGGTGTAGTCTTTGATCTTCATCAGTAAGTGCTTCAAGTCATCTTCACTTTCAGTGAGCAAGGTTTTGTCATCTGCATATTGCAGACTATTAATAATGAGTCTTCCTCCAATCCTGATGCTGTGTTCTTCATATAGTCCAGTTTCTCAGTTGTTTTTTCAGCATACAGACTAAATAAGTATGGTGAAAGGATATAACCCTGATGTACACCTTTTCTGATTTTAAACCACACAGTATCCCCTTGTTCTGTTAAAACAGCTGCCTCTTGTACTGTATACCAGTTCCTCATGAGCACAATTAAGTGTTCTGGAATTCTCATTCTTTGCAGTGTTATCTGTAATGTGATTAGTAGTTGATCACAAACCTTTGTGCCACCCAAGGACCTTGTTTTCTTATTAGGGGGTTGATAATAAAAAAAAATAGTTAAGAAACATTGCTGTAATATGACTTGCCCAGGGTCACCAGCAACTGGTCAATTATAGGTTTGGATGAGAAGTTGGCTTTTCTGGCCCTGAACCAGCAGTCTTTCAGCTGCCCTTTTCAGCTCCCTTCCCTTTGCTTCTCTGGGCTTAATTGTTCAAATCTGCATTATCAGAGGGTGGAATTAAATTGGTATATTTCCAAACTATAGTTTGACTAGAATTTTTTTCATTTGTATTACTGCCTCTGGATCTGGGGTCAAACGCCAGCCTCAGGAGTGAAGACAGTCCAGAGGTTTTGGGAGGATTAGTGACTTTTTCAAGGACACAGAGCAAAAGAAGAAAAACCAGAAATGTAACTACTGATTTGTAGATTAATTTTCTTTCCACTTACTAAGTCACTTTGTCAGTTGGCTCTAAGTTTAACTAAGGTCATGTGTGGACTTGGTTTTAATTTTTTTTTATTTAGATTCTTCTGAAAGAAAAATGACTGATATTTCTTATCCTATTATATTATAATTTCATTTGGATTTATTTTATAGGAGGTGGACTTGGAAGCAAAGAACCATGAAGTATGTAACAACCACAGGTACTGACAATTTTTGTTGGATCCTATCACTTTGATTCAGATTGTAAACTAAGAAAGAAAGTGTTTAATTTGTACGTAATAGGATTACTTCTCAGTTTTGATGCTTTGGATATTTACAGTAATCTTAGTAAGGAATGAATCATGGTTTTCATTTCTCTTGTGAAAAATCTCTTGCTATTGAGTCTAAAATATGCAAAGTAATAATTGAAAACATTTTATATTTATGTTGTTATTTGTATGTGTTTGTCCATCTTTAGTATTAATAATTTGGAAAATTAACTGTTACTAGGTGACATCAAGTTGGTTTTCGACTCATAGAGACTCCATGTAACAAGAGTGTAACAGCTCCATAGAGTTTTCTAGGCTGTAATGTTTCTAGGAGCAGATAGTCAGGTGTTTTCTGCCATGGAGCCACTGGGTAGGTTTGAACCGTGAGCCTTTTGGTTAGCAGCCCAGTGCTTAACCATTGCATCATCAGGGCTCCTTGGAAAAATAACTATGATGATCTGAATCAATGTTCTTAAAACAATTCTTTTAAGTAGCAGACTATTTTTCTATAAGAAAATTTTACATGGAATTCTCGATTATATAAAGCATATAGATTGTAACTTCTGACTGATTGGATATAGTCCCTCTGTCTACCTGACACACTTACCTCATTCCAGCAACCCTATAGCAACTCTTGGTCTCTATAGATCCCCACTGAAAAACATTTTTTAAAGATAAAAAACAAAACCAAACTCCCTGCCTCATAGTGACCCCTCCTTGGGTTTCTGAGGCAGTATCTCTACGGAAGTAGATTGCCTGATCTTCCTTCTGAGGAGTGGCTGATGGATTTGAACAACCAGCCTTCTGGTTAGCAGTCAGATGCCTTAGGCACTATGCCACTTACTTCTTAAAAATATAGGGAGCCATGTATTTTTAAGAAGTAAGTTTACTATAGTCTGCCAAAGAGCATTTATTTAGTATATGATGGATAAATGCCTTTTGCATATTAATGCAATGACATATCCTTATGGCATTGATGTCAGTGGACATCATTTATATTACAGAAGAACCACAGACCCCTGTGCACACATGCTGGAGGCTGTGCAGCAGGAAAGGAGAACAAGGGAAATGGTAACCACAAAGAGGAAATAGGAGGAATGCTGCTACATTTGGGGGATTGTAATCAATGTCATGAAACAAAGGTGTATAATCTGTTGAATGGGAAACCAATATGCTCTGTAAACTTTCACCCAAATCACAATAAAAAGTTAGTATTAAAAGAGCTCTAGTCGCTAACCAGAAGACTGGCGATTCAAACCCATCAACTGTTCCTTGGAAGGAAAGTTAGGCAATCTACTTCTGTAGTGATACTGCCTCGAAAACCCAAGGAGCGGTCGCTGTGAGTTGGATCTGACTCAATGGCAGTGAGTTTGGTTTTTGGAAGGTCGTAGAGAGTCTGATCTTGGGTCAAATCCTGGATCCACCACTCTTTTGGCTATGTAATAGCAAGAAAGTAATATTTCTTTCAGCTTTAGTTTCTCCATCTTTAAAATTGGATAATAATAGTGTATCTACTTCTTAGGATTATTGTGAAGATTTAAGTGTATGATAAGTCTTTAGCACAGGATCAGGGCATAGAAAGTACTGATTAAATATTAGTGATTATTAACTTTTTTTAAAATCTATTATAATTTGATCTTTGGTGAATATGAACCTTTGGCGTAATAAAGCATCTTTTAATAGGGTTTGATGGGCTTTATTATTTAAAATGGAAAATCCTGAGTAATAAAAGTTTATTTAATCAAAGAGAAATTAAATGCACTTTTAATGTTAGTTAGAACAGTAATTTTAGGCTCCATTATGCTGATTTACCAAAGCAAGTTTTTATAAAATGGTTAACCTCATATATTATTTTTCAGTCTAATTCATTGCTCCCAATGATGTTTTTGTATGATTTTTATGGTGTTTTAAACAGGAAGAAACATTACCAAGGTTCTCGTTGCAAACAGAGGAGAAATAGCCTGCAGGGTGATGCGAACAGCCAAAAAAATGGGTGTACAGTCAGTTGCTGTTTACAGTGATGCTGATAGGAACTCAATGCATGTACATATGGTATGTGGTCAGAAACTTGAAGTCAAATTTGGAAGTGGTCGTTTTGTTGTTGTGTCGATATTTTAGTTCTTTAGATTGACAGTTTATATTTGTTGATACTGGCATTAAGTACATAAGTTAAAACTGTTGTTATTTGCCATCAAGTCGTCTCCGACTCATAGCAACCCCTCCTTGGGTTTCTGAGGCAGTATCTCTGCAGAGTAGATTGCCCAACCTTCCTTCTGAACTACGTACTAATCATTCTCTTGAAACACTTTTCCATCTATAATATATATTATTAATTATATATTATATAATTCATATATATAATAAATAATATATATGTTGTTGTTGTTAGGTGTCTTCAAGTCAGCTCCAACTCATAGTGACCCCATGTACAACAGAATAAAACACTGCCCAGTCCTATGCCATCCTCACAATCCTTGGTAAACTTGAGCCCATCTTTACAGCCACTGTATCAATCCATCTTGTTGAGGGTCTTCCCCTTATTCAGTGACCCTCCACTGTACCAAGCATGATATCCTTCAGGGACTGATCCCTTCAGATAACATGACTGAAATAGGTGAGACGAAATCTGGACATTCTTTCCAAGGAGCATTCCGGCTATACTTCTTCCAGGACAGATTTGTTCTTCTAGCGGTCCATGATACTTACAGTATTCTCCACCAACACCACAATTCAAAGGCATCAACTTTTCTTCTGTCTTCCTTATTCACTGTATAGCCTTCACATGCATATGAGGCAATTGAAAATACCATGGCTTGGGCTAGATGCACCATAGTCTTCAAAGTGCATCTTTTCTCTTCAACACTTTGAAGAAGTCTTTTGCAGCAGATTTGCCCAGTGCAATATGACATCTGGTTTCTTGACTGCTGCTTCCATTCTGTTGTTTGTGGATCCCAGTAAAATGGAATCCCTGACAACTTCAGTCTTTTCCCCAATTATAGTGATGTTGCTTATCGGTCCAGTTGTAAGGATTTTTTTTTCTTCCTGTTGAGATGAAATCCATACTGACAACTTTAGTCTTTGATCTTCATCAGTAAGTACTTCATGTCATCTTCACTTTCAGCAAGCAAGGTTGTGTCATCTGCATATTGCAGATTGTTAATGAGTTTTCTTCCAATCCTGATGCCACATTCTTCTTGATATAGTCAATCCACCTTCTCAGATTATTTGCTCAGCACACAAATTGAATAAGTATGGGGAAAGGATATAGCCCCGATGCACACTCTTCCTGATTTTAAACCATGCGGTATCCTCTTGTTCTGTTCAAGTGACTGCCTCTTGGTCTATGTGCTAGTTCCTCATAAGCACAATTAAATGTTCTGGAATTCACATTCTTCGCAATGTTGTCCATAATTTGTTATGATCCACATAGTCAAATGCCTTTGCATAATGAATAAAGCACAAGTAAACGTCTTTCTGGTATTCTTTGCTTTCAGCCAAGATCCATCTGACATCTGCAATGATACCCCTTGTTCCACATCCTCTTCTGAAACCAGCTTGAATTTCTGGACACAGAAGACCCTTGTGGCCCTCTAGCCAGTTCTTTCTCATTCTGTGCACAGACGTTCAAACCTGTTTTGCTCCATTCAAACCTCGGACTCCCTCTCGTCCCCCCTTTTTCTCAGTAGATGATCTTGAATTCATGGAGAAAATGAAACTATGAGTTTCTTGCCACAGACTCTGCTGACTTGCCTGCATGTGTATCAGTCTTCTTCACATGCAAGGCCACTCATCTGCCTGTGCTCTGGGTTCCTTCTACTGTCTTCTTAAGAATCTTCCACTTAACTAATTGAGAGATTTAACATAGTATAGGATATAAGATCAACATACAAAAATCAGTTGGAGTCCTCTACACTGGCAAAGAGATTGCTAAAAAGGAAATAAGGAAATCAGTACCATTTACAATAGCTACCAAAGGGATAAAATACTTGGAAATAAATCTTACTGGGGACACAAAAGACCTATACAGAGAACACTACAAAACACTGCTTCAACAAACTGTAAGAGATCTACATAAATGGAACCATACCATGCTCATGGATAGGAAGATTGAATACTGTGAAAGTGTCAATACTTCCCAAAGCCATCTATACATTCAGTGCAATCCTGATCCTGATTCCATCAACATTCTTTAAGGATATGGAGAAAACAATCACTGATTTTATAAGGAAAGAAAAGAGACCTTGAGTAGGCAATTGAAGAAAATAACAAAGTAGAAGGTCTCACACTCCCAGATCTCAAAACCTACTATACAGCCAGAGTAGTCAAAACAGCCTGGTACTGGTATAACAACAGACAAATAGACCAGTGGAATAGAATTGAGAACTCAGAAATAGATCCATCTACCACAGCTGATCTTTGACAAAGGGCCATACTCCATTAAGTGGAGAAGAGCTAGTGTCTTTGACGTATGGTGCTGGCAAAACTGAGTATCCATTTGCAGAAAAGTGAGGCAAGATTCATACCTTATATCATACACAAAAACTAATTCCAGATGGATCAAAGACTTAAAAATGAAACCTAAAAATGTAAAAGTTCATCAAAGAAAAAATAGGGACAAATTTAGGAGCCCTAACTTATAGCATAAATAGACGATATATCAAGTATAACCCAAAATGTACATGATGAACTAGATGATTGGGACCTTCTAAAAATAAAATACTTACTTGCATCAAAGGATTTTTCCAAAAGAGTAAAAAGAGAACCTACAGATTGGGAAAAAATACTCAGCAATGACATATCTGAGAAAGGATTTACCTCTAAAATTTATAGAAAACTCCAACACCTCAACATCAAAAAGACAATCTATTTTCAAAATGAGTAGAAGACATGAACAGACACTTCACTAAAGAAGATATTCAAGTGGCCAATGAACACATGAAGGAATATTCATTTTCATTAGCCATTGTTGTTGTTGTTGTTTGCCGTCGAGTTGGCCCCGACTCATAGCGACCCCTCCTTGGGTTTCCGAGGCAGTATCACTACGGAAGTAGGATTGCCCAACCTTCCTTCCGAGGAGTGGCTAGTGGGTTTGAACCGCCAGCCTTCTGGTTAGCAGTCAAGTGCCTTAGGCACTATGCTACCAGAGCTCCTCATTAGCCATTAGAGAGATACAAATCAAAATCACTATGAGGTACTGTCTTACCCAGTACTAATAGTAGAGTTCAACCAGACAGAAAAGAACACGTGCTGGTGAGGATGTGGAGATTGTAAACAGAAAACCAGAGACATCAATTGACAAATGAGGACAACTACAAACCAAAGATAGGGAAAAAACTGTGTTTGTTACAGAACTTCTAGATGGTAGGGATGTCAAGACAACTGCAAGATAGAACGGACTGTTCTAAACTTGGGAAGAAAACTATAAATCACAGGGTAACCTCAAAGAAAAATGATAAACCTTCACATGAAAATCAAAAAGAGGACCAGCGCAAATATTTAGCAAATACTAAAGCAATAGCAACAAAGGAAGTGATAACACGATTCATAAACAAAATGAGCTCAGCATAGAAAATCATATGGAACAAAGAAATCAATACCACGAGAAAGCACATAACAAAAATGACAGCAACAAATTCATATTTGCCAATAATTACATATCTGGCAAGAGACTTACCTCTAAGATTTATAGAAAACTCCAATGCCTCAACAGCAAAGGAATTAACAATCCAATTGAAAAATGAGCAGAAGACGTGAATAGACATTTCACCAAGGAGGATATTCAGGTGGTCAGCTAAAACATGAAGAGATGCTCACAGTCATTGGCCATCAGAGAGATGCAAATCAAAACAATGAGATACAGTCTCACCCCAGTGCTGATGGAAAGGTTCAACAATACAGAAAATTATAAATGCTGGTGGGGATGTGGAGAGATTGGGACTCTCATACACTTCTGGTGGGACTGTAAAATGATACAACCACTGTGGAAGGCAGTATGGTAATTCCTAATTTATGGAATTTCTAATTCCAAAAAATTGGAGTTAGAAATACCATTTGATCCAGCAATCCCATTACTAGGAATATATCCTAAAGAAGTGAGTCAGGATACAAACAGATAGATGCACATCCATGATCATCGCAGCACTGTTCATGACAGCAAAGAGATGGAAACAACCTGAGTACCTACCAGCAGAACAATGGATAATGAAACTGTGGTGCATACACACAACGGAATACTGTGCAACACTAAAGAATAATATAGCATCTGTGAAATACGACATAACATGGATGAACTTGAAGGACATTATGCTGAGTGACATAAGTTAATCACATAAGGGCAAATGTTGTATTAGTCCACTATTGTAAAAAGTCAAGGAAAGGTTTATATATGGAAAGAAACTTTCCTTGTTGGTTACTAGGGAATGGGTTGTTGTTGTGTGCCGTTGAGTCGGACTCAACTCATAGCGACCCCTCCTTGGGTTTCCGAGGCAGTATCACTATGGAAGAAGATTGCCCCATCTTCCTTCCGAGGAGTGGCTGGTGGGTTTGAACCGCCAGCCTTCTGGTTAGCAGTCAAGTGCCTAAGGCACTACACTACCAGAGCTCCTAGGGAATGGGAGAAACCAAAAAAAAAAAAAAAAAACTCACTGCCATCGAGTCGATTCCAACTCATAGCAACCCCTATTGGGTTTCCAAGGCAGTAAATCTTTAGAGACGTAGATTGCTCAGTCTTGCTTCCACAGAGTGGCTGGTGGGTTTGAACCACCAACCTCTGGTTAGCAGTTAGATGCCTTAGGCACTGTGCTACCAGAGCTCCTTAGGGATAGGAGGGAAAGAGAGGTAAAATTGCTAGATAAGTAAGAGACAGGTATTGATTTGGATGAAGGGAAAGGCAGTATACCAAATTGAGTGACCAGCCCAATAACACTAAGGAAAAGGAAGAGACAGAAGTATACAAGAGGTGTAGATGACAAAGATAAACACTTTTACATATATAATACTATGTTATTAGTGATAACAAATATAAATCTATGGGTAAATAGTTGGATAGAGAGGCCAAATGATCAAGTATTTCCAGGCAAAAGGGAATATACCCATGGCCATATATAAGGTTGGCAGTTGATATTTCTACATATTTATTTGTATGTGCTGTAAGAATGTCCATATAAATAGAACTAACAGGGCAAAGTTAGGATAGCTTCTTAGCCACAGTCAACCACCCTGATGGAGAGAGTTGTTGGATCTGTGGGCTCGGACCATGGTCACAAGGCACATCAAAGTCAGTTGGCATAACATACTACATTAAAGCACTGTTCTACATCCTACTTTGGTGAGTAGCAACTGGGGTCTTAAAAACTTGCAAGCAGCCATTTGGATGCAACAATTGGTCTCTCCTTATCCAGGGCAAAGAACAATGAAGAAAACCAAAGATCCATGGAAACAATTAGTCCAAAAGACTAGTGGATCATGCAAACCTCAGCCTATATGACCATGAGACCAAAAGAACTAGATGGTGCCCAGCTACCACTGTCAACCACTCAGAAAGGGATCAGTCCAGGAGATCCTGGATAGAGTGGGAGAACAATGTGAAACAAAACTCAAAATCATAAAAATGATCAGGTTTATTGGTCTGATAGAGCCTGGTGAGACCCCCAAGACTATATGGCCCCTCATGGCCTTTTAGGCTTAGAATTAAACTCACTCTTACAGCTTCCAGCCAAACAGTAGACAGGCATATAGAGTGAACATTTACATCAGGTAGCTACACTCCTTAGAACAATCAATCATGGGAGAACAGAGGGCAATATTTGTACAGGGCAGTACCTCGGGGATAGGAATGAATAGAAAAGGACACAGAGAAGAGGTAACAACACGGAGGAGGTGAGAAGAGAGCTGCTACATTGTGGGGATTGCTGTCAATGTCATGAAACAAACTATGTATGAACTGCTGTATGGAAAATGAATTTGGTCTATAAATTTTGACCCAAATCACAATAAAAATTAAAAAGAAAGAAAAAAGACTCTTCAACTTAACAGTGATGTGTCTTGAGTCACCCCTCCACTGGATCCTTCTTGAAAGCATTTAGATACACTGTAGTAGTCTCCCAAATTCATAACTATCCCTAGCCCCACATCTCCCTTTTTCCAGCCCCCCTCTTTTTTCTCCCATTTGTAGCCTGCTGTTTTCTCTTCCTAACCTCTTAATCTCTTGGCAGCCAACTCTTGTCAAGCTTCTTTGCTCACCCCACTCTTGAAATTGTTTCTGCTAAGCTCACTGATTATATCCATGTCCCTAAATCCAGTGGAATCTTCAGTCCTCAGCTGACTTGACCTGTCAGTAGCATTAACACCATAACAGAGCACTCCTTCCTGTTAGAAATAAATTCTTCATGACCTCTGACCCTCCTGTACTCTCAGTCCTTTTTCTAGATCCTACCCATATACAGACCCTTAAATGTTGAAATTCCTAAGGACTTGGTCCTTGACCCACTTATTTTCTCACTGTATACTTTCAATGTAGATAATTTCATCTATTTCTAGGGCTTTGCTAGAAACTCCCAAATTTTTATTTCTAGCCCAGACTTTCTTTCAAGCATGATAGATCCCACTGCCTCTCAATATCTCCACTTGCATGTGTTACAAGTACCAAACTTAAAATGTCTGAATTGCACTCAGGATCTTTTCTCTGTAGTGAACCTAGTTTTCTTGCAGACTCCACTAGCCCAATAAATAGATAGCAATTGCTCATAAAAATAATAATGCCAGAAATTTGAGAGTTGTTTTTGAACATCTTTCCCTCTTCTATTCCATTCTGTATCCTCCCTTCCCACACCATCCACTTCAAGACAATTACCACCTGCTATTAATTCTGCTTCCCCAAACGTTTCTTCCCACTTCTTTCTGCCCTCCCCCACCTGCACCTTAAGACAAAGCCACTGTCATCTCTTGCTTGGTCAAATGCTGTAGCCTCCTAAGCAGTCTGCCTGTATCCACTTTTGCTCCCTTCCCTACTCTCTGTTTTCTACCCTTTAACTAGAGTGATAGTTTAAAATCAGAATTTGATCATGTTACACCCCTGCTTTAAACTTTCTTATAATGTCAGATTAGCAATAGTTTTTAAAAGATTGGTAGTATTTAGCGTTTTTAAAAGACAGTTAAAAATTGGTACATTATTACATGTTGATGGAAATGTATATTGGTAAAGTTATTTCAAAGGATGATTAACCAGAGGCATTAAGATGTGTATATCCTTCAACCCAACCCTGCAAACAGTCCTCTAGATCTCTTTCCAGAGAAATGTTCACATATACATGCAAAGAGAAGAATATATGAGGATATCTCCTGCAGCCTTGCCGCCATTCAGTTTTTTGCCATTATGACCTAAATGTCTATTAAGAGGTAAATGACTAAATTAACTGTGGCCTCCATGCTGTGGAACACAATGCAACAGTTCCTTAAAAATGAAAAGTGGTAGACCTATATGTACATCATTAATGAAAGTGCAGTTGCAGAAGATAAGTATATAGTTTGATCCTAGTTTATATAAAAACTAGAACTGTTTATATAACGTACACTGTATATGAATAAATGGGAATATGTGTATGGAAATGCCTGTCCCAAATTGATCTTAGTGGTTGTATTTGGAAGGGGTTGAAAGGGGGGACGGGAGCAAAGGGCTACTTTGATTTTGCATTGTTTACATTTTTTAGAACAAGGGTAGATTTGTGTTTTGTGGAATTGAAAGAAAAAAAAAAAATCTTTATGGAAACAAATTGCTAGGTCCTTCTCCTGCAGGTTATGTTTGAACTGCCAGCCTTTTGGTTAGCAGCCAACACTTACCACTGTGCCATCACTGTGCAATCTGTTCCCTCCTGTCTACCCAGCCTCATCCTTGACCCTTTGCCCTTTATTCCCCTTGTTCACTGTGTTCCAGCCATACAAGCCTCTTTCAGTCCCTCACACTGACCAGGTATTGCCCACCTTGGATCTTTCATGTATGTTGTTTTCTCTGCCTGGAAGGCTCATCCCCATCTCCGTTCCTGTTCCCAACTCCACACCCTACACCCATTTGCCTGGCGGGATCCTGACCATGCTGGAGGATCCTTCCCTGACCACTAGTCTGACCAGATCAGTTTTTCTCTTAGTTTCATGATGTCCTTTGGTTTTCCTTAATGCCTTGATCACAGTTATCAATAAATGTGTGAATATTTATTTAATGACTATCTCTCCCTTGCGATTAAGTGTGTGAATGTGTAGTTAATGTCTGTCTCTCCCTTTAGACAGGGGCATTTTCCTTGTTTGCTGTATAGGCAGCACTTACCTCAAAGTGTGGCACATAGTGGGTATTCAGTAAGTCTTTGAATGAATGATGCTTTCTATCTAGTCTACATCAAAGGATATTATGAATTGTGCAAGTTTTAAGGGATGGTATAAAATAATTCCCAACTGTATGGCAGGAGCATTATTAGCATACTCTAATTATTGTGTAGAAGCTCTGTGGTGTAGTGCCTAAGGCATTTTCCTGCTAACCAGAAGGCTGGCAGTTTAAACCCACAGGCCACTCCTCAGAATGAAGATTAGGCAATCTCTTTCTATAGTAATACTGCCTTGGAAACCCAATGAGGGGTTGCTATGAGTCAGATCTGACTTGAAGGCAGTGAGAGTGACTGAGTGAGTAATTATTGTGTAAACTTTGGTAAACTTTGTAATTTTATTTCTTCCTATATACACCTGTTATATTTCCTATCTCTGTTGTCAAATTGTAAATATTTGACATGAAATGCATCTAAAGTTATTATTGTTGCAAATAATAATAGCATGACTGATACTTGTTGCTTTTAAATCCTGTGGTACTTTAATTTTACTGCAGTATGTAATTTATACATGAAAATCATGTTTTGGCAATAGATTCCAAGATTAGTTTATTTTGAGAACATAGACGTGAGCTTGTACTTCTATTTTTAAATTCATGCATTGTTCTTAGGAGCCAACATTTAAAAAATATAATAATAATAAAATGATCCTGAAACCGTGCTATAGTATACCCACTGTGCCATCTTTTTTTTTTTTTTTAATTTTATTTTGATTTGGGTGAAGATTTACAGAGTAAATTCACTTTTCATACAGCAGTTCACATATACTTTGTCTCATGTCATTGACCAAAATTTACAATGCAACAGCTCCCCTCCCACTTCCTCCCCACAGTCACCTCTTCCCAGTGTCCATCCCTCCATACTCTTCTGCGCCCTGAGCAGTCTCCCTGTGCATAAGCAGCCCTTCCTTCTCCCATGATTGTTCTCTCCAGGGCGTGTGTCTACTTGAGGTAAATGTTTAACTCACATGCCTGTACTTTGTTTGGCTGGCAACCACAGGTGTGGGTTCAATTCCAGACCTGAAGGGCAGCTAGGGGCCATAGTCTCAGTGGTTCCACCAGGCTCTATTGGACCAGCAAACCTGGTCCCCACTTTCTTTTTTTTTTTTTTGCCTCCAAATGATTTTGAGTTTTGTTCCACATTGTTCTCCCTCTCTATGCGGGATCTCCTACATCCCCTCCAAGTGGATGACCCACTGTGCCATCTTTTAAGCGTGTAATATTTCTTTCACAGGCAGACGAAGCATATTCCATTGGCCCTGCTCCCTCACAGCAGAGCTACCTTTCTATGGAGAAAATCATTCAAGTGGCCAAGATCTCTGCTGCACAGGTAAAAGTGTGAAAATATTTCAGTGCAAAAGGATTAAGTTTTGTGCACATTGTATAAAATCACTAATTATTTCTAGAAGTTATTTCTATTTTTGTCTCTTCCTAAGCTTTTTATATTTACTTACTGTGCTGTCATTTGAAAGTGTCCATGTCCCTTCTCATTCCTCAGTAACTGTACCTTCCTGCTAAATCTTCTGCACTTTAGATCTTTTGGAAAACAGGGTCTAAAATATAAGTTAAAATTAAGACAGAATGCAGCCTTTCTACCTTCAAGTGCAGGAGCTCTGGTGGAGCAGTGGTTAAGACATTCAGCTGCTAACCAAAAAGTCAGTGGTTCAAACTCAACAGCCACACCATAGGAGAAAAATTAGATAGTCTACTTCCGTAAAGATCTGCAGCTTTGGAAACCATATGGGACAGTGCTACTCTGTCCTCCAGGGTTGCTATGAGTTGGAATCAACTCAGTGGCAATGAGTTTGGTTTTTTTGGTTACCTTCAAATGCTTTGGGAATATAGATGGTGCTCTAAATTGTAAGGTAAAATGAGGAGCAAAATTTCTCTTTCCTCAATTTCCCAGTGTCTTTCAAAGGGCCTCCCACCTATTTCTCCAATATCTCAAACCTCAAAACTTTGGTGTTATTACGTGTCTCCACTATCTTTCAAAAGAAGTAAGAGCCAGTTTATATTGAGCCTTTTTTTAAAATTATTTGCAGCCAGATACTTATGATCTCTTATGTGGATTTCAGATTCTTAGCTGATTTTCCGGCTTCTAAACTCCTTACCCATCTGATCAATACTGTATACTACTAGATCTAGATGAGTGTTTCTAAAACACTAGCTTCATTATTATTATTATCCTCTGTTCCTTTTCTTTAAATACCTCACCATTTTCCTACCCTGTCGCCCAGTTAGTAAATCTTCATTGGTTGAAAGACAAAGTCCAAACTCTTTAGCCTGGCATGTAAGTTTTCAGTATGTTGCCATCCTATTTGTGAAAACTATTTTCTGATCACTAGTCCTTCATATAGCTGCAGTGAACTTTTCTCTATCTCCTTTACCCACCATACTATTTTATTCTTCTAAGCATTTGTTCATATTAATCCACCTGCTTGAAATGCTCTCTTTGCCCTTCTCTTATCATTCATTGATGCATTTATTCTCTCAGCAAACATTAATTGGTCACCTGCTTTGTGCCAGCTTCCTAGCATGGATGCAGCAGTGAATAAGACAGACACAGCTGTCACCCTTCTGAAGCTGTACTCTGTTAGAAGAGAAAATAAACACTTAAAGAAATATTACAACCAAGAGAGTGATAAGTGCTGGGAAGAAATTAAAGCAGGATAAGGGGATAAAGAGTAAGTGTTTGGGAGATGCTTTATTTTTATTATTTTAATAATTTTTCCCTTTTTTTTTCCAAATCTCCTCCCCCCCCCCCCTTTTTTTTTTTTAAGTTTTCTTTTTCCTTCTTTTAAAATTGTGATTTGGGTGAAAGTTTACAGAGTAAATTCATTTTCCATACAACAGATTATACACATTTTGTTTCATGACATTGACCAAACTAAGCTCACTGCCATCAAGTCAGATTAGACTCATAGTGACCCCTCCCTGGGTTTCTGAGGTGGTATCTCTATGGAAGTAGATTGCCCAGTCTTCCTTCTGAGGAATGGCTGGTGGGTTTGAACTGCCAGCCTTCTGGTCAACAGTCAAATGCCTTAGGCACTACGCCACCAGAGCTCCCATGACATTGACTACAATCCCCATAATGTAACAGCTGTCTTCTCAATCACTCCCTCTGGTTACCCTTTCCCTGTGTCCTTTCTGGGAGATGCTTTTAAATAGAGTGGTCAGGGAGGCCTATCTGAGGGGTGACAACTGAAGAAAAACCTAAATGATGAGAAGGAGCTAGCCATGCAGGGAACTCCAGGAAGAGTGTTCAAATAGATGGAATTGCCAGAGCTCTGAGATGAAAACAGTCTTCTTTTATTCAAGAGACAAAAATGTGCTTTGTGGTGAGGTGAAATTAGTGATGGGTTGTGTCATTTAGGGTCCCGTCAGCAAAACTGAGATTCCACTAGAAATTTCAACAGAGGGAATTTAATATAGGAATTAGTTACTCCAGTTTTAGAGGGATAAAAGAGCAAAAAGGATATATTGAAATTATGCAGTGATGGTAACTACAGAAATGACAATCACCTGTGGCTGAGGAAGAGGTTGGAGGAGGGCTCTTCTCAGCTGTTACTCAGTGCTCTGGTTGGTGTTGGAGCCTTACCTGGATGTTGCATGTACGTAGAGGGCACCATGAGGCCAGTTCTGGGATTCTTAAAAAAAGCTGAAGATTAGAAGCAACTGCTCCTGCCCAGGATGAAGAGATAGGAATACTTCCCCTAATTCCAGTTTTCCTATGGTGACCCCTGTAGGCAAAACCTAACAGAAGGCCAGCTCGTAAAGAAGAAAAGTAATTTACAGAGCCTCACCACCAAGTACAGGAATGGTACAAACAGTTAAGCTTTCGACTACTAACTGAAAGTTTGATGGTTCAAACATACTCAGAAATGCGTCAGAAGAAAGGCCTGGGGAACTACTTCCAAAAGGTCATAGCCTTGAAAACCTGGTGGAATGCAGTTCTACTTTGAAACAATGGGGTCACAGGAAGTCAGAATTGACTCAATGGCACCCTTTTTTTTTTTAAATCACAAAGCACAGTGTGGAAGATTGGATTTGCAGCTGAGAGAACCCAAACAGGAAGAAAGTGGTAGGAGATGAGGAAGCAGAGAGAGAGACAGACAGGATCATTTAGGGTGTTATAAAATACCAACAAAAACCCATTGCCACCAAGTCGATCCCCACTCATGGCAACCCTATGAGTCTATGTGTTATAGAGTGGAACTGTTCTATAGGGTTTTCTTGTGATCTTTACAGAAGCCAGTCTTTCTTCTGTGGTGCCACTGGTTGCATTTGAACCACCAACCTTAGGTTAGTAGCCTATCACAAACCAATGGCACTTCCCAGACACCTTAGGGCACTTTAGGCCTTGATAGAGTTTCTATTTCATTCTCTGTTGAAGGAAGCCATTGAAAGATTTTAAGCAGCAGAGTGAATTGATGTGATTTACATTTTAATAAGTTCTCTTGACTGCCATATGGGAAATACAGGGAATAGGGAGAGAAAGGAGCTCTGGTGGCGCAGTAGTTGAAGCATTTGGCACTAAACTAAAGGATGAGGGTTCAAATCCACTAGCCACTCTGCAGGAGAAAGTTGTGGTGGTCTGCTGTAAAGATTACAGCCAAAAATATCCTATGTGGCAATTCTGCTCTGTTCTACAGGGTTGCTATGAGCTGGAATTGACTTGAGGGAAATGGTGTTTGGGGTTTTTTTCCTTAGTAGAGAAACCAAAACCAAACTCATTAACATCGAGTTGATTCTGACTCATAGTGACCCCACTGAGTTTCCAAGGCTATAAATCTTTACAGAGGTACACCATCTCATCTTTCTTCCACAGAGTGGCTGGTGGATTTGAACCACCAGCTTTTTGGGTAGCAGCCAAATTCCTTAACCACTACACCAGCAGAGCTCCTTTGGTAGAGAAAGGTGGTGCTGATAACAATGAAAGTAGGTAGGATAATTAGGAGTCCATTATAGTAGTTTTCCCCTTTACTACTAGCTGAATTTCTGCCTCTTAAAAATTCTATCTTGTCACTTTTAGTCACATCATTCTCTCTCTTTCCCTTTAGTATTTGATTTCCTTTTCCAGCCATTTTTATACTTAATTAGCTGTTATTTAACAATATTAATATCTTAACTCTTTCTCAACTCCATTGTGTCCTTCCTAAGGGAAGGATTCACATCTTGCACTTCTTTTAGATACCACCTAGCAACTCAAACACAAACAGAAAGGTCCTTAATTTGCCATAGTAAATCTATGTGATTATTTTGTATTTATGTATTCCTGAACTAGTGTTCTCTTCTTTAGAATCAGAGATCTTAGACTCAAAAATTTAGGCATTAGTTTATACATGTGGGTATTTAGAATATGCTTGTTTTTAATGATGATGATGATGATGATGTAAAATAAAAAGCATTAGAAAGAAAAGGACATAATACATAATAATAATAATACATGGGCTTTATATATTAGGAATCCGGGTGTTTTAACATATATATCGCTTTTTTTTTTTTTTATTAGGATTTGGGTGAAGATTTACAGAGTAAATTCACTTTTCATACAGCAGTTCACATACATACATATCACTTTATTTATTTATCATGTATTTGAGCATACATGCTATTGTTACCTCCGTTTTATAGATGTAAAATCTGAAACACAGAACCAAACCTTCGACTGCCATTGAGTCAGTCCAACTCATATGACCTTATAGGACAGAGTAGAACTACTCCATAGTTTCCAGTTCTACAGAGTCACTGTGAGTTGGAATTGACTCAGTGGTAGTAGGTTTGGGTTTGGAATCTTTATGGAGGCAGACTGCTACATCTTTATCCAGGAGTAGCTGGTAAGTTTTGGTTAGCAACCACAAGTTTTAAAAACTATTCACCAGGGCTCCCTGATGTATAGAAGGTTACATGATTTTATCCAAAAGCATCTCCTCTCTTTATTAGCAGCTTTAGCATCACATGAGAGCTTGTTAGAAATGCAGGTGCTCTGTGGCCCCACCCCAGGCTCACTGTATCATAATCTGCATTTTTATCAAGATCCGTAGGTGATTTGAGATCAAAATTAGTCTAATCATTGACAGAAATGGGATTATTCTCCTGACTCCCAGTCTTAGTCTTTGTCCATCAACCAAGCTGAGCAGTAGAACTTTGTTGCCCCTCATTTTCAGAAATGGAAAGTATTATTTAGTCAGAAATTTCAATTAAGGAAAATAAATTCTTATGGGCACAGCACTCTTCCTTCTTAACTTTATCATTGCTTTATCCTCTAAGTCCTTGGAATTAAAAATCTACTCCTTTTTTAATGAGCATTTTTTGAGATCAGGCACAGTA